TGTGTGTGGGTGGGGGGGGGGGGAGGGTTTGACGAACAGATTGCTGTGTGAGCGAATTAGTGGGAGGGTGAAAGGTTGGTATGTTCAAGTCGGTGTTTATGTTTAGATGAATGTTAAGTACCGACAGGTTAGGGGTGGGTAGGCGGTGTAGCTATCACGTGTAGGGATGCAGTGGAGTTTTATAGATAAAAAAAATTGGTGTTCACATAAAAGAGTTAGTAAAGTTAACGAAACAAATGTAAGTGTTAATTTGGTGATAATACAATGAATACAAAAGGAGTACGGGTCATTGGGGTCATTTGTACGTTGTGGACCAAAGTACCTTACATATATGATAATAGTAATATAGTAACAAATGATAGCTTTACAATGTTTGTAAGCTTTATAAATTAAACAATACACAAAAAGCAACAATAGGAAAATGAAATGCCAAATGATAAATGATGCGACACAGAGTGGGGACATGGGGGTTGAGGGGTGGGAGTTACATTGATGTTGTTAGAAATGTATTTGGATAATACATCATTGTCACTGTTTAACATAGTACTTCATTACAGGGGTGGTGGTGATGGGGACGAGGGGATGCAGTTTTGAGGGGAAATTTGATATTGGGATCATGAGGTTTAGGGGCGGGGGGGCGGAGAGGGTGTGATGAAAGGGGGATGTGTCAGTTCGATTAGGCGTTCCAGGTGGCAAAAGCAGTGTAATATGTTCTTTACGTTTTGGTGTTGTTAATTATATATATGTGTTTGAGTGCTGTCATTGTCGAGTCGTCTACGATAAATCAAGTCTAGTACGTGTCCCGTGAACTGTACCTTGTCGTGTTTTGCTTTTATTCTGCTGTTCCAAATAGTCTGTCTATATATAGCTACCGTCCTTGCTTTTTGCTCTAGGTCCGTCCTATCTCTTTGTATTGGGATTTTGTTTAGAGTTATGACTATATCGATATTGTAGGTCTCGTTTTTTATTATTTTTTTTTCTAGCGTCTTTTTCATGTTTTGTATGGTGGGGCATTCTAAATAGATGTGCGTTTCGGTTTCGGGTGTGTTTTTGTCTGCATAGTGGGCAAAATGGTTTCTGTTGTTTTGCTAGGGGGGTTGAATTGTAGATGAGTCTGTAAGTTATTTCCCTGGCTTTGGGTGTGATGGTTTTGAGGTGTAGGTTTCTGAAGGTGTCCATTGTGTCTGTTAGAGCGTATTTCCTACACCATTGAATTCTGTTGTATAGTGGAGTTGAGAGCTTTTGCACTAACTTTTTGTAAATGTTTTGTGACTTTTTGCTAACAAGTTTTTCGTTTTTTTTAATATTTGTAAACATTCTGTGTAAAAGGGACTGAGTTTTCCTCCTATGTAATGTGGAGTTGTATTATTGATTTTTGTAAGTTTGTTTAGCTGAATGCCTATATAGTAGTGAGCTAGAGGGTGAAAGTTTGGTTGGCTAATTATTCTGCTAATGTGTGTTAGTCTGAATGTATTGATTTTGGTCTGTATATCGTGCAAGTTTATTTCCTCCGAGAAAGAAAAGTATAATTGGGACGACAAAAATATGAAAGCAGTACCAACCGAATTACTAAAGGCACTCTGACATCTTTTCAATTCTAGTTTGTAATAAAGCTAATGTTTTTCAATTTAAAGTAGTTTAAAATGATAATTCTATTATCAATAAAATCAATGATTCAGAGTACAATTTACTCATAAAAAATATTGTTAATAATTACCTGGTCAACAAAAACGATTTTTTCCCACCTCGGTAATGATTTTTAGAATCTGTGTATTTTGCTAAAATAGTTACAAGTTGTTTCCCTTACATTAAGTGATCTAAAAGCGGAGAGTAGCTAACATAAATTAATTTTCCCAAGTTCAGTTGCTACATTAAGTTATTAATTTAATGGAATAGTTTCTTTTCGGTCAAGGAGTTATCATATACCTTAATTATTTTAAAAATCTATCCGTTAATTGTTTTTACTAAATTACTAGAAAAATAAACATTATATAACGGATATAACGCAATTATACCCTTCCCGTTCCCCACAAAAAAAAAACAAAACCCAACCCCCCCCCCCAACCCCCCCCCCCCCCCCAAAAAAAAAACCCACCAAAAAACAACAACAAATAAACATGGGTCGCAAATACGTATGAAAAACATTAACGCCCTATGCGAACTAAGGAGCTATCTTTGACATTCTTCAGAGAGTTTTGATAGAATAAAGTTTGAGGCGTTGCATTGCTTAGTTGCTAGGCGTGGACAAAAGGCGTGGACTCAACTATTAACAGTCAATCGTCTACACGCCTCAATAAGAATCTGAGCTGGCTTTATGACCAATTACTTTACCAGATTGTACAATCTAACCGCTGAAACCACAAGACGCCAACCATACAGGATGGCAATAAATTAAAAAAAAAACCACGAGAATCCCTCTGACATGGGGAAACGACAGAAAGCAAAGCGAATGGAACTTTGAGATAAAAAGCATGAAAGTTTCTTATGTTGTGGTGCTTGTTGAGTGAGATTAACAGATGCGGAGGATTATGAAGTGGCCTTGAAAATACAAGAAGTGTAAAAATTGTAAATTATGGGACGGTGTGGTCTAGCGGTAGAGAGCTGGACTGCTAACCTGTAAGCATGAAAGTTTCTTATGATGTGGTGCATGTTGAGTGAGATAAACAGATGCGGAGGATTATGAAGTGGCCTTGAAAATACCAGATGAGTAATAATTGTAAATTATGGGACGGAGTGGTCTAGCGGTAGAGAGCTGGACTGCTAACCCGTAAGTCTCGAGTTCGAATCCGGGTTCAAGTCAGTAGCCCGTCCTTGAGTTCACCCAACTGTGATGGGTACCTAACTCACGTTAGGGAAAGTAAAGGCGGCTGGGCATAGTGCTGACCACACTGTCTCTTCATATGCCGAGGTCACAGAAACAAGGGAAGTCTACTTCACTTGCCCCATAGACCGTCAGGTTTGAAAGGGAAACTTAACTTAATAATTGTAAGACACTTTATGAATGAAGTTCAACCTATCTGAGGAGCAAATCTCGGTACTTTTGTCGCATCACAGAACCCCAGGGACTACTAAACCAACAAAAATTAAAGGGTTTTTGTTTTGTTCATTTTGTAAAATAAATTTTCGCCGACTTTTATTAAATGAATTAAATAAATGCTAGGCCTATTACAAAATGAAAGAATTTCCATTTCTCCTGATTTGTTTTGAAACGGAAATCTTGTGTGGTCACAATGTGTCCTTTTCCACGATCCTCCTACTTGTCCCCGCTTGTCCCACTTCGATTAGGATATTGAGTACAAATTCGCCTGCCTCCTTACATTTGTGTATTGAGAACAGCCCGTCATTGTTAAAGATAACACAGTAGTATTTCCTCGTACAACATACACTTAATTCTATACTTATGCCACCAACCAAATACATATTTTTCTATCAATGGTGTTACCCTTGACCTTGCGCCCCCCCCCCCCCCCCCCACATTACCCCCATTAAAAAACAACAACAAAGATGTGTGTATTGTGAACGGCCCGTCATTTATAAAGATAACACAGTAGTATTTCCTCGTACAACATATACTTAATTCTATACTTATGCCACTAACCAAATGCATACTTTTCTATCAATGGTGTTACCCTTGCCCCCCCCCCCCCTTACCCCCCCCCCCCCCCCCCTTACCCCCGTTAAAAAAACCCAACAAAACACTAAGCACATCTCGCAGCCACTGGAGCAAGGTACGCAGCAAGGGATATAACTCAAACAAATCAACAGCTTATACGCTCTTCTCTCCCCTTATAATTCAATCGTCCCAACCCCTTTAAGCGCAATTTCCATACGGACAATTGCGATTATTAACTCGTCATTTCTGGATGGATGTGTGTCCCCAGCCTTTAAGTCGTATCTCCTTCTCAACAAAGCAATATCGAGGACTAGTTCCAAAGCAAATATGTTAAGCAAGTTCCGAGGATGATTGTGGGCCAAAAAAATTCCCGGAATTCCTTCCTGGATTTCCCGGAAAAGCCAAAAAACCTCGAACAAATGCAGTTTTTGGTCCATTTCTCGGCAACCAGACCACTTAGCGACATGAAACATTTACCAATCGATTCCTGTCATAATTTAGAACAATATTGCCGAAGAAAGTTTTCAAAAATATCCTTTCGTTCGGTCACAAAAAATTCTTTAATATATTTTAAACCGAGCATCTTGTAGGCCTAGGATGATGTTTAAACTGAGCATCGTGTAGGCCTACTCGTTAAAATAAAACTATTTCCGTTGATATAGGTTAATATAGTTGTCTTTTTTTAGCGCAATTTCCATACTGGTTTCTATTTTGTTTTGAATTATTAAAACTACTTGTGTTGCATTATTTATTTGCTGAATATATGATTTATCTCGATTTAAAATTGTTATAGATAACATAAGGAAATTGCGCTTAAATTGTCACTAGACTTTTTATTAACTTGTTTTATTTTACAATTCTTTTCAAAGCATCTCACTCTTCCCCCGGCCCCTCCCCACCCCAAGTGTGTAAGAATAACAATTGGTATGAATCTATATATATATATATATATATATATATATATATATATATATATATATATATATATATATATATATATATATATATATATATATATATATATATATATATCATAACTATTTTTATGACGTAAACGTTTTTATATTACATTGTAGCCAATTTAGCCCCTCTCCAACATAAAACCCCTTGTCTAGGCCAGTGATTCATTACGTTCAAGTGTTTTCAAGTACACAACCACCAAGGCAACAGTGAGTACCTCTCACTGAATCACCGTGTAAGTCTAATCAACCTACCCTCCGTCCTGTAAGTGATTCACTTTGTTGTTCAATCCACAACTCTAGCTAACTGTGAACACACCATGACGTCAACATTGACACACAAACACACACGTCTAAAACACACGAAGAAAAAAATAGAATGTTTATGAAATCTACTCACTTGTAGATTTTACCAGTTAGCAATTTTTTTTAACCTAAGCAGCTGTGTCTAACTAGAAGAAAATTAGAAACGTTTTAAAATTATGTTTTTTTTTCTCTAAAACATTGATCTGAAATTTAGTACATTCTTTAAGCTGTATTACAACAAATTTGGAAAACTTCACATAAGTAGCTCAACATAAAGTGGATACCATCTTTGATGTGTTCGGTCACTAATTATCTCTTCAATCATTATACAGTTTTTCTTAAGTGTTAGTTATCTATGGTGAACGTGTTTCGTCACCAATCTTAAGGTTTCGCCACCAATCATCCGTACAATCCATCATACAAACATCGCGACAGTCTTCTATGGTAAGTATTTGTGATGTGTACTGGTTTTTGTGATGTGTAATGGTTTTTGTGATGTGTAATGGTTTTTGTGATGTGTAATGGTTTTTTGCATGTGTAATGGTTTTTTGCATGTGTAATGGTTTTTGTCATGTCATTGTTACAAAATGCCATTGTTACATCATGTCATTGTTACATCATTTCATTATTACGTCATGTCATTGTTACATCATGTCATTGTTACATCATGTCATTGTTACATCATGTCATTGTTACATCATATCATTGTTACATCGTGTCATTGTTAAATCGTGTAATTGTTAGGTCATATCATTGTTACGTCATGTCATTGTTTGTTATATGTGCCCAGGGCCGGCGCTACCTATAAGGCGAACTAGGTGGTCGCCTATGGCGTATCCCTAAGGGGGGGGGGGCGCAAAAAGGTATAATCGCTATTCTCAAAAAGTATCTAATAAATAATAACTTTGATTATCTTTTATAAGCTATAGATGGTGATATAGAAAAGAGTAGCGCTCTATTTTGGCGCCCAGAACAAACTATCAATTTTGCACGTCTACCTTAAAATTAGGTCTATATTGGCATATATGGTGACTGGACAAAGGATCCCAGGACAAATTATCTCAGACAAAATATCTCACGGACAAATGATCTTATATACTAAAATTTTGCAATGAGATTATTTTGTCTGAGATCATTTGTCCATGATATCATTAGTCCTGATATATTTTGTCCTGGTATCTTTTGTCCGTGAGATCATTTGTCCATGAGATCATTTGTCATTGAACCGCATATATTTATTCGCGATGCTAAACATTCAAACCTCCTTCCTAATCTGGAAAGGTCGGGGTGCATTTTACCAGTCACTTTGCCTTTTTATTTTGGTGTCACATAATTAATAAAGAAAACTATTAAATAAGTTCGTAATTTAAATTTTGAACATTTCAGAGGGTTATCTAATTTGAATGTTGATTAGTGATTGCTCCAACACATGATGGGCGTTCCAAAGCACGTGCCATTTTGTTTTTAATAGGGCTTGTAAGTCTCGTTTTCTCTAACTTTGAATTAGAAAACTGTCCTGGTGTATAGTGTTTTGTAATGACGGGGTGTTTAAAGTATTGTACTTTTTTGGTAAGTTTTAATGGATCGCTTAGATTTGGGAGTAACGGCGGAAAGCTGTTGCTGATATGGTTTCGTAGGTTTAAAGTAACGAAGTGTTAAAGTGTCGTATTTTTTATTTGGCTGTTGTCGTGTAGTTGAAGGTCTAGTGGAATCTAATTGGTAGTAGAGAAATGATAATGTAGGTGATGAGGTATCGTAGTTCTGGAGTTCGGGAGTGTCGAGTATGGTTGTATTCAGGTATCGAATTGTGTTGACTGTTAATGTGTAGTAGAAGGTCCAGTGAAATCGTTGATTGAGAGTATCGTTTGTAGAGCTTGGTAAAGTTAAGCGAATTTGGAGCATCAAGTCTAGCTATGTTTAGGTATTGAAGTTTGATATGTTATGAATGTAGTAGAGTATATCGAGTAGTCGAATTTATCATAAGGTAGATGATTTCAATTCAGGACAGAACACACTACACAGAAGGGTAGGCGTTCTCTAGCTGAAAAATCTTTTTTTTTTTGGGAATCTAAATGACCGCTATTAAAGTATTAATATATATTATTATATAGGCTGGAATGTATAACCAACCGTAAACTTTGTTTTTTTTATTTAATCAATCATAGCAACATCTAACAAAATTTCCCGTAATTGATGTATTTGAAAGGCGTCCCATTATTTAGGGATTCCAAAATTTTTAAAAAATCCTTGATAATTGCATCGCGGTAGAGGCACGTCATCAAAATTGACTAGAAGTGTGTTATAAAAAGCTACGGTGTTTAACCTTTCAAACAAAACCAACAGTTAAGTAGCCAATGAGTAAAAATAATTATTTGACACGGTTACATAGCTAATATAAAAGATGTTATATGATTGTCACTTAATGAATTTAGATTTTTTTTCAAGCATGTCTGAGCTACACTTGTTTAATTAAGATATTTTTGTGAAAGTTAATTCCCTTGAATAAAATTCTGGTATTATTATTATTTAATGGGAGAGAAGTCGTTGCTTATCTTTACATTAATTTCAAATTCCTATACCTGAGGTTGGCCGCTTACTTATAAATACAACTTGAAGTTATTTGCTATTGTAAAAATTATACAGAGTAGAAGTTCTAAACAAAATAGTTTGGTAGGCTTTTTTAGCATTAAGTTTAAAAACAAATACATCAGTAGCCGTTGTAGATTGCAATACTTAATGTTAGTAGACTTACATTATGCTACAGTGCAACAAATGCGTCTAAAATCGTCTTAGTCGCAAATTAAGCATCTACTTAATTGTCTGTTTTATATTTTTCACCATCTCTTAAGGATTCATAAATAACTATTGTAGGCTGGAATCTATAACATTTATACCTTTTTATTTTTCAAAAACAAAGAAATCATTTTAGAGATTTTATAATTATAACTAAAGACAGTCAAGCTTAAAACAGGTAAGTTTCGTTTTTCAAGAACTGGTTTTTTTTATTTCCCTGTGTTTTTTCCCGTTCTTTTTTTCTCCCGGGAAAGTGGTAAGGAAGGCACTTGAAATTTTCTAGGGAGGGGGAGGGGGGGGGGGGGAAGGAGGCTCGTGCACCTAGCTACAATTTCAATAAAATGTGATTACGCTTCCACACTGGAATTGAAGGAATTAGTACAAACTTTTGCAACGCAGGAGGCAAGTAAAATTTGATTTTGAATCTACGTATACCGTTTATGCAATTGATAATAAATTAATATGTCACTTTTAATTAATTTTTTTCTTACACATATGTTTTAGTAATTAATTTGTGTGAAAGGGGGCGTTTAAATAAGTTTTGTCTAAATATCCTGGCGCCGGCACTGTATGTTCCCAGTGCTACACGCATATGTTCACACTATCAAACAACTTATCTCTTACATTCTTGTTTTTTTTAAATATTGGTAGCTACCAAAATCTGGTTCTTAAAACTACGGCAAAGCAACAACTTCAACACTTGTCATAACTATAACTTTAACTGCAACCTTAATTGTGGCATATAACTAGGGATATGTGTAGTACCCAAGCCAGTAATGCAAAAAAAAAAAAAAAAAAAAAAAAAAAAAAACAAACAACAACAAAACAACTTTAAATGGGAATTTTAGGTGATTGATAATGTACACATTTCTAATAACTAACTAATGTCAAAATTAGCTAACCCTCTCCCTTATTCAAGTCTTACCATGGCCCTAAACCTAATTTTGACCCTAATTATACATTTAATGATACCACTGACTACATACTGCACCTATGTTTTAGAAAATTTACCATCGGCTATTACTTACACTCCTACACATCCCTTATAAATATAAACAATATAGTGGTAATTTTTCACTTAGCATACAATAATCATCTGAGCATTCTTGTTAATATAATTAACGAGCCGACCCGCGGCGTATCATACGCCGCTATTTAGTTGTTTTCTACTTTTCAGTAATTCATAATTTGTGAATTCGACAGTACCAATGCTGCCACTGAAATTTTTTTCTTTAAAACACTAACCCCCCCCTCCTTTCCCCCAACCCCTACCCTTACCCCCCCCCCCCCCGTGAAAGCAGCCCCATCTTAGTTACCTCCTGTAAGTTTAAAATCGTTTCAAACTAAATTATCTGCCCATAATAGCCGTCACTAAGCCCGGCTCTACGATTTGTAAACATTTAGCTCACCAGACCATGTGGGGGTGGGGTGGGGGTGGTAGTGATAGTGATAGAGATAGTGATAGAGAGAAAGAGAGGGGACTGCAAGGCGCGCTTGCAGCTTGTTTTCTAACGTCTCCCTGAAGAGAATTATATATATATATATATATATATATATATATATAGATTCTCTTCACAAAGACCATAGAAAACACCACGCAGCTTAGCCACCACCCTCATCCCCACCTGTCAGGTGATCTGTGGTTCACCGCGAATGCTTACAATCGTAGAGCCGGGTTAGTGACGGCTATTAGGGGCAGATAATTTAGTATTAAACGATTTGAAACGAAAGGGGAGGTAACAATTTCTGATTGATCTTTTCTTTGTCTGTAAGCGGCTGCTTTCACTGGGCGGGTGGGGGGGGGGGGGGGGATAGTGATGAATTCACAAATTATGAATTGCTGATAAGCAGAAAATAAAACAACTAGATGGCGGCGTTTGCTACGTCGCAGGTCAGCTTGTTGTTAATGTTAGAGTTACAAACCCCCGCCATCGCCACTAACACCTTTTCCCTCCTCCCACCCCCACAAGTAACCAGACTTATTTCCCTTGGGTAAATCTCTCAGCAGGTGATGACCCCGCCGCGACAACCGGAACTGGACGTTGTGGTCAAGCGGCTGGAGAACTACCTCAACTCCTCCGTCCACGAGTACCTGTCCAGCCTGGTCCGGAACCTGAGCCCCGTGTCACGTCTGCCCAACCCCGCCCACCTCCTCCCCAAGAACACCGTCACAGGCATCGAGTGCGTCATCCTACCCCCGGTACTCTATTTCCTCACAATAGGCCTCGTCTTAGTCTTGGTATTTCTCTACTTCAAGCACACCGACACAAATGGCGCCGAATCTGGCCAAAGTCTGGAATCGTCTTCCCGGCAGTTGGATCTCATCAGCAACACTTTGAATAGAAATGTCGACGCCGCGACGCCACTTCCGGTTATTCTCGGCCGGACTTACGTTAAAAACGAACGCGGGGCTCAGCTGTCGAAAAATTCGTCGTCTGCGTCAAGTTCGACAATGTCGTTTGGAGAGATGGTAGATTTCAGGCGCGTAGACGCGGACGGTTTAAATACTAGTCCAACAACTCCTGGAGTTGTGAAGGGGATGAAGTATTTATCAACGAGCCGGGAGGAATTGTACTCGGCTAGACACGAGATGCAAAAATTGAAAAGTTCCGGAGCGAAATCAGCGTCGATGGGTATTCAAGATGAAAGCACTTCCGGTAACGCCATTAGGGCAGACATGTGCTACCGGCTGGTCTGGTTGTCCGGGGATGACGACTTCAACACGTCAAGTCAACAGCAGACAGGACAAGAATCGTGTCACGTGATTAACAAGGACAACACCAATCACAACACGAGTGACGCGTCCTACAGACCGAACAAATTTTACGAGAATCCCGTTTTCTCCAGCGAGATGGAAAACGACGTCTCGTCTCAAGAATACGAGACCGATTTTTTTCATCTGAAATCTGTAGGAAACCCTAAAAGTTCGTGTTTCGAGAAAACTCTCAGTATAACCAAGAGTAACTTCCCTTGCTGCAATGATCAGCCGTCGGTATCCAGCACTCCAATAGAGAAAAAACACGCAGCTAAAAATAGAACATCCAAACCAACCAAGTCGGGTAAAGGCCTATTTACATCCCGCACAAGAAGTCAACTGTTTCCTCCACTACACGTCGAACCTCGGCTATCCGGGAACGAATCCCACGGAGACGAGTGTCCAGGCGAGCCCAACTGTTGCGGGGTGTGGGAGATTGATGACTCACAGCTGTGGTTCCAGCCGACTCAGGAGACCAGCCAGGAGATGACGTCGACTTCCGGTACGACCAACAGCTACTGCGTCGACGCCGTGGAGCAGCTGGAGCACAGCGGATCGACCGACGCCAGCTCTTGTTTCAGTAGTTCCATTAGTCTGCCCAGTAGTATCCTAAGGTAATTGGTTGATGTATGGCTACATCAGTATCCTAAGGTAATTGGTTGATGTATGGCTACATCAGTATCCTAAGGTAATTGGTTAATGTATGGCTACATCAGTATCCTAAGGTAATTGGTTAATGTATGGCTACATCTGAATTGTAAGGTAATCGGCCCAGAAGTTTTCTAAGGTAATTTTCTTAATGAGTAGCTACATCAGTATTGTAAGGTAATTGGTTAATGAATAGCTACATCAGTATCCTAAGGTAATTGGTTAATGAATTGCTACATCAGTATTGTAAGGTAATTGGTTAATGAATAGCTACATCAGTATCCTAAGGTAATTGGTTAATGAATGGCTACTTCAGTATCCTAAGGTAATTGGTTAATGAATTGCTACATCAGTATTGTAAGGTAACTCATAGGCCAAAAGTGGTATTCTAAGTGAATTACTAGTTCACGAAAACAATGTTATATCAAATGGTTCTTGGCTAACAAATCTAATTTCACAAGTTAATGTATAAGATCTTTGCTTAGATTTTAAAAAAGCATTCCTTTGAATTTGTTAAGAAACCTTGGTTAGTGTTTCTTTCAGACTTTTTTCTCCGGAGGAGAGGGGGGGGGGGAGCACTTGATATTTTCGGGGTGGGGGGGGGGGGGCGAACTAAATTTTTCCGGGGGGGGGGGGCGGACACTGGTATGATAATTCCATTTCGTTCGGGGGCGGGGGGAGGGGGGGGGGGTTAGACTTTTTTGAAGAGATGCCTGGAAGAAGCTCTGGTTACAAAACCATTATAATTAGCTACTCTTGCTTATCAAAGCAATCCTTCGTTTCTTATTCGCTACTAAACACCATTTCTATTGTAGATTAGTTGTTCTTTATACATTCTGTTATTGGCCCAAGTATTTAATTAAATGTCATTTTAATTACTCAAAATAATGTATCATGAAATCAAGACATTACTCACCTATGTGATAAAATTTTAACATAGCTATTTCTTTACGTTGCAGGTTCCATGCCAGCAGAACTCGATCCGAGGCGCTCCCTACCTCGTGCTACCCTTTCAGCAGCACCATCCTCGAGGATGTGACGTCATCCAGCGGACCATCGGACGACGTCTGCACCGAGGCGACGTCTTTGTTCGCGCAGGTCGGCAGCTACAGCCAGACGGCCAGCCTTCTGCTGGATCAGCAGACGGCTCTCGCGCAGGGGACGTGCGGCAAGGGCGACAGCTCCACATCCGGGTCAAAGGTCAACCCGTTGGTTAAAAAAATGGCGGGTCCCGGGCGTGGTCACGTGACCGCCGAGCAGAGGCTGAGCGAGTTCGGGTTCATCAAGGCCAGCGGGTCCCACGGGTTCGTGGTCAACCCGTCCCCGGGCAAGTTTTACCGGCAGGATTCTTTACAACATTTGTTGGACGGGGGGTCAAGGTCAAAGATCAACACGCCCGTTCTACTACAAGATCCAGAAGATCACGAGACCTCGTACGTGGATCTTGAAGCGTATCTGACGTCTGACGAGAGTCGCTATCACTACACGGACAACAGTCCCGCTCAGTCGTCTGCCGACCAGCATCCAGCTTCAGACACGTCCGGGTTTGGTGCCAAAAAACTTGAGGACAAAAACAACAATCGCATGTATCGGGGTGAGAGGTCACGTGAAAGGTCATGCGAAAGGTCACTGCAACGATGGAGCGATCTGTCTTAGCTGGGAAGCGGTAATTTAAAAACATGAAACGTAAAATTAAAAACTGTTGTAGAAACTATATGAAACTATGCACAAGGAACGCATAGCACAAAGAGTAGGCCTATTACGTCCTTTTTCGAATGAGGACAACAAAAGTAAGAAAAAAATGTACAGAATATCATCAGTTTCAACATTTTATAGACATTTCCAATTCTGGAACATTCCATGGTGTTGAGGGGTTAAGCATAATTTCATCATTTGCGGTCTGCTTTATCACGCTTTGAGCCAAACTCAGCTTATTTCAATGACGATCTTAATTTAGTATCGTAAGATACGCCTCATCTTTTCAAGAAAATGTGTAACCCAGATGGGGTATTAATAAAAATATGTACAACACTATTTGAATGTATGTTGATAAAATAAACTCTTGATTACATTATATGACTTATTAATTTTGACTAAAAAATAAATCAATTAAAAAAACAACTTCGATATTATATTTACTTTGTTTGAAATTTTTATTGGTAATGTAAAATTAAATACAAGATGGCGAAAGTGTGAAATTAGAAAACATCTTGTTTAGAAGTCTATGCAGTATCTATACTTAAAAGTGAAAAGTGTATCACGCTATCGGCTTCAATAGTCAATATTCTCATGTCTTGAGTGCCTTTAGCAAGTAAAATTTTTAAAGATGAAAACTATCGCCTAGATCTAGTATTTACAGATAGAATAAAGTGTAATATACGTTATATAACAAACATGTATCATTTAGCTGAAGAGTAAGTTGTATAGAATATAAACAATATTTAATTATATTTGAGGAGCACATAGTTCTTTAAATAGTCTGTTGAAGTCTTTAAGAGCAATGCAGAAGTTTCGCCAGTTCTGCGGCCTTGACCTCCGCGTCCATGTCCTTGACCATGAGGACAATGTCCTGAGTCCTCTGCTGGTCCAGACATGAGGTGTTCTGCAGGAATTTGTTGACCACGTCTACGTCACTCAGCGGGTTGTCCCAGTGGCCGTACGGCTTGAGGCAGCGGGCCTGGATCTCCGTACCGTCCTGGGGGGTGGGAGGGTACGGTGTTATTGTACCGGGCTAGGATGGGGAGGGTACGGTGTTATTGTACCGGACTAGGATGTGGAAGGTACGGTGTTACTGTACCGGACTAGGATGTGGAAGGTACGGTGTTACTGTACCGGACTAGGATGGGGAGGGTACGGTGTTATTGTACCGGACTAGGATGGGGAGGGTACGGTGTTACTGTACCGGACTAGGATGTGGAAGGTACAGTTTAACTGTATTGTACTAGGCTCGGGAGGGTACGGTGTTACTGTACCGTACTAGGATAGAGAAGTTAGTTTTACTGTACCGTACTTGGATGGGGAGGGTACGGTGTTACTGTACCGGACTAGAATGGTGAGGCGACAGTTGAGTCGATGGGACAATGACAGGTGAGTACTTACCACCAGCTCGGCCTTGACCTCCACGTACATCTCATTGAAACACGGCCTGTTGTCGTCGGCGTGTTTCATCAACGTTTTCGTCATCAGATCACGCAGCTGTGGACGTGATCTCTGCTCGTCGTGGTAGCTGCAGGGTGTCACGTGACCGTCCAGCAGGGCCGTGCAGGCGTTAAAATGGAACGAGTGGCGGGCCTCGTGCATGGTGGAGGGGAGCGGGCGGTCGACGTACCTGGCGCTGAAACAGACGAGTGTCAGGTGAGGATGTGTGTATGAGCAGTCTGTGTGTGTGTCATGAGGATGAGTATGATGAGTGTGTATGATAAGTGTATGTGATAAGGATGTGTGTAATAAGAGTGTGATGAGTGTATATGTGTGTGTGTGTGTGATGAGTGTATGTGTGTATAATGTTGATGTGTATGATGAGTGTTTGTGTTCATAAATGAACGTGTGTGATGAATGTATGTAATAAATATGTGTGTAATGAGTGTATAAGTGTATGATAAGTGTATATTTGTGTGGTGAGTGTATATGTGTGTGGTGAGTGAGTGTGTATGTGACGAGTGTGTATTTGTGTGATACATGTGTGTATAGTGTGGGAGTACTGTCGATTAGACCACTTTTCTGTTTACAGCAGCGTAAACGACAATAATTACTGTCGATTACCAATGGTTGACTAAAGAGTACTATATGGCTCGGCATTGACGGGGGGGGGGGGGGGGAGTTAGTAGAACGTCCCGGAGTCCATTCAGCTCTAATGGGTACCTGCCACACATTAGGGAAAGTAAAGGCGGCTGGACATAGTTTGCTGACCACACCATATTTTTGTATATACAAGATATATGAGATCGTCGCCACTTGTTCCAATTACAGTCAGGTTAGAAAGGATACTTTACTTTTTAAAATTTAAGTTAAACATGATTATAGATCAGTATTTCTTCCAGACTTTTTTCTCGGGGGGGGGGGGGCGATAACATTTTCCTGGGGGGTGGACGCTGGTAAAAGTATATGTTTTCGATATAAATTCCATTACGTTCGGGGGAGTGGTAGACTTTCTTCGGCGGGGGTGGGGGGGGGGGGTGCGGCTCCGAAGAGATGCCTAGAAGAAATTCTGCAGATGATAACTTACTATGGCGCTGAAATGGTCACGTGTTTGATGTCGTCTGGCTTGACATTTTCCGCCAGTTTCTTGTGGACCTCCAGGGCGGCGTCTATGGTCCAGTGCATGCCCAGGTGGGCGGGGTAGCGCTTTAGGGCGATGTCTTGTGTGTGGAAGTAGAAGTGGTCATGCTTGGTGAATTCTGCTGAACAGAGTAAATAGTCAATGCATGTTTCATCTTGTCTGAATAGATGAATAGAGTAGACAATTAACAAAGGATTTAATCTAAATAAAGGAAGAAAGTAGATATTCAGAACATGTTTCATCGTGTATGAATAGATGAATAAAGTAGACAATAAAAAATGATATAATCTAAATAAAGGAAAAAAGTAAATATTAAATAACTGTTTCACTTTGTCTTAGCAAATGAAGAAAATAATTTTTCAATAGATGTTTAATAATGTCTAATTATACGAGGAGATTAGATATTCAATAGATGTTCGATACAGTATAAATAAATGAAGAAAATAGATTTTCATTAAATATTTGGTACAATCTAAATGCAAGAAAAAATTATTTATTCAATAGAAAGAAGTAAAGATACAAAAATAATTCAGACCTGACTGTCATATTGTGATATAGAGCGCCCAGCCGCCTTTATTTTCCCTAATGCGAGTGAGGTACCCATCGGAGCTTGGTGGACTCACGGACGTAAACCCGGATTCGAATTTTAGACTGCCTACTTAACAGTCGTATGCTCTACCATTCGACCACGCCGCCCAATAACAATGTATAGTACAATGGTTTTATTCTTGAACACGCTAAACAACCTCTATGAAACCTAGCGCTTGAACTAAATTCGAAACTTTCGGGCTAAAAAATGTGTACATTACAACTAGACCACGCCATCCCATCCCTTATCTATAGAACTTGTAAGTTTATCGTTCTTTCTCGCGTTAATTCGTGTCTGGTTAGCCAGGGAGAGATAAAAGTTTTCGAACTAAATCAATTGTTGTGAACGGGGTTTCCCATTGATAACAAAAAACATGGCGGCTATTTGTTAGTAGGTCCCGCTTCAAGATTTCAAAATCATCAAACGTTCCAGAAATGCAACAACTGTAAAAACTTTCAACGCTGTTTTGTTCATATGGATTGGAACAAACACATGTGTATGCATTTTTGAATATAAAAGTTTTGTGGCGGTAAGTATATTGATTTTATTTCTTTTGTTGATAGTTTGTCCAAGGCTAGGGGACATTACTCTGATTCTACTCAGTCTTTGCTACGAGACTTAAGATTCCCAGACCTAGACTAGATCTAGATCCTAGAATCTACCAACTAAGATCTACATTGCTTTAATCTAGTTCTAAGAGTATAAGTTCATGAATTAGAATATATTAGATCTAGATTCTAGATCTAGTATTTTAGTGATCTAGATAAAATATTAAAAATATTAAGAAAAGGATGACGGTAAAAACTAAAACAACAGGAAAATGAGGATGACTTCCAGTCTCACTCAGCCTACGACTTACTTATTAATCGAATCTAGATTCTAGATCTAGATATTAGATCTAGATATCTAGAACTTAGACAACAATTTTAATGTTAATAGACCTAGATCTAGATTCTAGATCTAGCTAGATTACTGAACTAGACTCTAGTACTGATTACTCAGTGATTACTGTTTAGTGTTTAATATTTTAGAAGTAGGCCTATTACTGGCTATTAGTTATTAGAAGTAGCTTGTAGATAGATGGCTAGATAGATCTAGATAGTATTACTAGATCTAGATAGAGATAGTAGAATAGATCTAGATCTAGATTCTAGTAGCAGACTAGTATGGTAGGCCCTAGATCTAAAATCTAGATCTAGAGAATCTAGTAGATCTAGATGAGATAGATTCTAATCTAGATCTAGATTAGATCTAGTTTAGGTAAACCTACCCTAGTTAAGTTTAGTAAGAGCTAGTAATGCCTAGTAAGGCTAACCTGTTTTTAATTTTAAATCAATTTTTTTATATCAAGAATCTAGACTAGATCTACTCTAGCTATTTACTAGATCTAGATCAGTAGCCAGTAGAGTGATTAGAGTAGTAGTAGAGTGTAGTGTAGAGTACTGTAGACTATTGTTACACTATTGTAGAGTGTAGGTACTAATAACTAGACTGAAACTAAATTAGACTAGAATCTAGGTCTAGATACATTTATGGCTTACAGACTTATCAGACTACAGTGTTGCAATGAGTAGATCTAGTAATATATAGATTAAATTTAGTTTGAAATTGTTAAAGTAGTGCTACTACTTTTCTAAGTAGTAAGTAGTGTAGACTACTAGAAGAGCAAGATGATAGATCTCCATCAAGCTACAATAGAGTTTAGTTAGTAGTTAGTTAGTCATAGTAATAGTACCAAAAGCAGTGTAAGTAGCACAGTAAAAAAAAGTATTACTAGGCCATCTACTATTGTATTAGGTCCTTTTATTTTTAGCAAGTTAAAGTTTGGTTAAGTACTAGTCTTCTAGCAAGTTGCCTAGTAGTAAACTTATAAACTAGATCATGTGTATTAGTGCTATTAGACTTGTAGGCTAGTCTTGTTAGTCTAGACCAGGGACTATAAAATCTACAATTGATAACTTTCGGCCTTTTAGTATAAGCCTAATTATTAATGAATTACAGGGTACAAAAATTAATAAATTGGTCAGAGTCAGTATGGTTACAGTTAGCTGTTAATAGAATTAAGTTTTAGATCTATTGACTACAATTTTTAGTTACAAGTAATGAAAATGAAACTAATAGTTTTGTAATAGTTAAGATATGGTTAACTGTAAACCAGATATTTTAGTTTTTAAGACAAGCTAAGTAGATAGAAAACTGAACCTTTACAATAAATTAAACCTTTTATAAATATAAATATACGAGCCGACCCGCTGCATATCATACGCCGCTATTTAGTTGTTTTTTTTTTTTCTACTTTTCAGTAATATAAAATTTGTGAATTCGACAGTACCAATGCTGCCATTGAAAATATTTGCTTAAAAACACTACCCCCCCCCCCATGTGAAAGCAGCCTCCTCTTAGTTACCTCCTCTAAGTTTAAAATCGTTTCAAATTAAATTATCTGCCCCTAATAGCCGTCACCAAACCCGTCTCTGTGATTGTAAAATGTAAACAGAGTGAACACCGCTCACCAGATCATGTGGGGGTGGGGTGGGGGTGGTAGTGATAGTGATTGTGATAGAGAGGAAGAGAGGGGACTGCAAAGGCGCGCTTGCAGCTTGTTTTCTAACTGATCCCAGAAGAGAATTATATATGTACATATATATATATATATATATATATATATATATATATATATATATATATATATATATATATATATATATATATATTAATATCTCATATTAGTTAAATAATTATTTTAATATAATATATGGATAAACTTAATAATTTATTATATTTAAATTCCCTAGGTACTTGGCAAGCAATTTTCTCACACTTTACTGTGGCTATTGGTGCTGATCTTGAACTAAAGGTGAGCTGAATTTTTTTTTTATAATAAGCCATTTTTCAGCTTAAGCCCAAGTTTGAAATTGATTCAGTGTTCTAATTCTTAAAGAATATGTTGCTACTAAGATTATATACTGTAAGTATTAATATGTATGGCTTGATAGTGGGACTGTCAGACAGTAGATTTCACATTTCTATCCTAAAAGATAAGAGTTCAGATCCCTGGTTTTAGTCCTGGTATGATGTCCTAAGTCTCATGAGTACCAGCTCTCATGAGTACCTGGCTCAAGATAGGGAAATTAAAGGTGGCTGGGTATATACCTCTGAATACTCTAATTTTACATGCAAATGTCACAGAAACAGGTGAATTTTAATTCAACGGCTATATTGGCTGTCTGTTTTAATCAATGATTAATTTTTTCATATTACAGAAAGTTGTTAAAAATATTATTTATTTAATTTCTAGGTAAATGGAACAGCATGGATGTGGATTTTTAGACACAAGGAAGCTGAATTTAACTTTTAATGAAGAATTTAAATGATGATTGTCCATGAAAAGAAATATTAATCATATACATTGTAATGCTGTATTGATGCATCTTCTGTTTTAAGTAATTAAAAAACCATCCATTTATGAAATTCTTTTCATTTTTTTTTTCAATTTTAAAACTGTAGTTCTGTTTTGTTATTTGAAAACAATGATGAAAGTATACTGAACTGCCATTGAGATATTAATATAAATGCTATTGTTTATAGTTTAATTCTTTCAGAAGCAACTATATTGACATCAAAACTGAATCTTTATTGTACATTAAGTATAAAAGCTTACCCGCAAACCAGTCCATGTCAACAATTTATTGACATTCAAACATTAAATTTTTTTAAAGGTGATTTTTCTTAAATAAAACAGACTACTTTCATATGGGATAAGAAACATTTAATTTTGAAATTGATTGGTTTATTAAATTTTAATGGAGCTGAAACTAAAACACTGGGTACAAATATATTATTACTTTGTTTCTCAGAAAATTGCAAATTTTGAACATAAGAACTGTGGGAAGTAGGCAATGATGTTAAAATATCTCTTGAAACTTGAAGAAATTGTGGAAGGTTTAGAGATAGAAAACAACATTTCAAAAGATGATGTTTGAAATAATGGTAAAATATCTTTAGCAATTGTCACTGAATAAATATTTTCATTAGACAAATCACATTTAGATATAGAAGAATAAGGTATGTCTTCAGATTTTCTTATCAGCGAAGATCCTGGGTGATTCTCTTTGTTACCATCGGTCAAACGACAAGCCAATTCTGGAAAATTCATTGGGTTCTTTGCCTGGGCAGCTAAATATATTTAAATTAAGTTCATGCAAGGCTTTAGAAACATCAATTGGATAAAACTCTATAATTTCATTAACTTTTTATTAATATCAGCTCCAAAGGAATAATATAAACAAGTTACACATCATCAATAAATCAAATTTGCAGATATTTCCATTTCACCAAACTTTCTCTAAGTCATAATATATATTTTAAATTCATGGCATTTTGTTAGGCTAGATATGTTGACTTTTATTTACCACAATAATCTGATTATATAAATTAGGATTACCCAGCTATCATACATTCTTCTTTTTACTGCCCTTTTTTATGAGGGGGAGGTAAAAATCATCATAAAATGTGTGATGCAATTTACAGATGAACCCTCTCTCTCTCTACCCCTCCCCCTATATATATATATATATATATATGTATATCTACATAATCTCTAAAATCATGTTGGTACCTCTACCTGTTTGAATGTTAGGCCCCTTTCCTTCAACTGTTTCTGTGTGGATCTTCTCCATGGGGGTCATCCATAAATGACGTCACGCATTTTTTTGACGATTTTTACCTCCCCCCCCCCCTCCCCCTACACATCGTCACAAAAAGCCAGACCCCCACCCCCTAAAATGACGTCACACAGTACTAGATTCTAGATCTAAATTACTACAGTTGCCTACACTCTAGATTTAGTTCTTAAGTTCTACAACAAGACTACACTAAACTTCGCTAGATCTAGAATAATCTAGATTCTATATATAAATTGATATTGAACATATTCTAGTCTACCTGTCTTAAAGTAAATAGCCTATTTAGTAATTTAGTAATTAATTCCACTCAACTACACTTAAAATAAAAGAAACTAGATCTAGAATCTAGATCTCTAGACTACTCTTGAGTCTATAATAAATTAAAAATAAATCCTGTATGTCGTTTTTTTTTAAGTCATAGATCTAGATATAGAATTCTAGATCTAGAAATCTAGACTCTAGATCTAGGCTATATATATTTATTAATTAAATTAGGTTTGATTTCAGATTTACGATTGAAATCTTTTAGGCCTATAAATATCATATTTTATATAGATTATAGATGTATTATTATTATACAGGTTGTATTCTAGATCTATCTAGATCTATATAAAATATAATATATTTGTGTGTGTGTGTTATTTTAAACTTAATTTAATTAAAACAACTTATTGTCGGAGTTTTTTTTTATTCCAAAATCGAAAGTAGATTTCATAACTTTAAAAAAAAAAAATAAAAAATATTCTCATTTGGTTTGAAAAAACAAAAAAACGCCAGCTGGCAACTACCGGAGCGAGAACTTGGTAAGCTACTTTAACAACTTACAAGCCCAATACCTGCAAGCAACGCCTCGGGATCAAAGTCGTCGTAGAAAGCCCCAAACCCTGAAGGCATGTCTAGGATGTTGCTGTTGCCTTCAATACCTTGGTCAGCCAGAAGTGCCGCTTCCAGACCAAACCTAAAACACAGAAGATTGCTCGTAATAAAACAGAGAGAGAGAGAGAGAGAGAGAGAGAGAGAGAGAGAGAGAGAGAGAGAGAGAGAGAGAGAGAGAGAGAGAGAGAGAGAGAGAGAGAATTGTTTATTGTAAAAACCGAGAGAAAATAGTTTAGAACTGAAACAAAAAATCTACTACCACATTTCAAAGTAGTTCGCGATCAACAATAGACGGAAAATAGCTCAGAATGAAAACGGAAGTAAAATATTTTACAATAAAGCAAGAAGAAAATATGTCACAATAAAAACAGACTGAAGATAGTTAACAATAAATGCAGAACATAATTCACAATGATAATTTAAAACAGAAGATCGTCGTTCTTAATTTAATATAAGGTTTTGCAACCACATTTTCTGAACCCAATCCTTCCTCTAAACTATACATTGGTCTCAGTTAAATCTAAACTACCTCTTAAAGAGTCCACTATCAGAGAACACTACAAACCAGAGGCGTAGCGATGGGGGGGGGGGGGGGGGGGGTGCGGAGTACATATGTCCCCGGGCGCCGACCCTAGGGGCCCTAAAATAAGCTCATTTTAGCTGCTATTTTCAATTATGAATATAAAAATTATACGGGGGGGGGGGGGCGCCAAATTGAAAGTTTGTCCCCCGGCGCCGGGAGGGGTCGCTACGCCTCTGCCACAAACACATCGTTAAAATACCTGGCCGCTTTCCCAGCATGCAACGGTTTTGTTGTCGTCCCAACGTTGGCCATCGGGGCACCAGCAAACGACGCCGCGATGCCCAGGGCGTTTCTGCTTTTCTTAAGACCGAACCCAAGAAGGTTTGAACAGGCGGCGGCGCTACCCATGACGCCAACAACGGAGGGAGGGTGAAACCTGTGAGAACAATACAGGGAATTGAGCAGGTGTTTAGGTACAGGTGTGGTAATCTAATTGTCAAAAGGTAGAGCATACAACTATTAACCAGAAATTTTCGAGTTCCAATCCGGGTTCAAGTACGAAACACGTCCCTGAGTCCACCCAGCTCTGATGGCTACCTAACTCACGTTAGGGAAAGTAAAGGCGGCTGGGCATAGTGCTGACCACACTATCCCTTAATAGGAAAGGTCACAGAAACAGGTGAACTTTACTTGCCCTATGGACCGTCAGATCCGAAATGTAACTTTACTTATTTATGTTAATCTAAGTCTCAGAGACTCATTTGTGTAAAGGCAATTTATTTTTAGAAACAAGAACAACAACCAATTTTTGTTTGCATTATCTCCCTTGTATAATATGTTCCTATTCATCTATTTATAATTCTTAATTACCCGTTTTTAAAAATAAAACACCCCCCCCCCCTTCATCTCCCTTATCTTTTGGCTGGAAATAATCCTCACCTGCAAGGTAGATTTCTCGCAGACTTCGATGTCCTTAACAGCATGCCTTGCACCTGTATCCCCACGTTGTACGCCAGCAGCACATCCTCTAGGGAGGGGCTGAGGGGGGCGGGCAGGAACTGGGCCAGGGCCAGCAGTGCCGGGAGGGTGGCGCCGCTGGGGTGGGTGGCGGGGTGCCAGGTGTCGTCGAAGTCCATTGTGTGGACGCTGGTGCCGTTGATGAAGGCGGCTGGGAGGGACGTGGGGAGAGAGGTTAGAGGTGAGGTCACGGGATTTTGTGGATGGGTGAATGGGATTTTGTGGATGGGATAATGGGGTTTTGTGGGTGGGATAATGGGAATGTGTGGATGGGATAATGAAATGATAATGGGATTATGTGGATGGGATAATGGGATTTTGTGGATGGGATAATAAAATGGTAATGGGATTATTTGGATAGGATAATGAGATTTTGTGGATGGGTTGGTGTGATTTTGTAGATGGGATAATGGAATTTTGTGGTTGTGATAATGAGATTTTGTTGATGGGATAATGTGATATTCTGGCTGAGATAGTGGGATTTTCTGGATGGGATAATGGGAAATTCTAGATGGGATAATGGGATTTTGTGGATGGAATGGTGCACTTTTTAAAGCTTGGATGATGGTGTTCAGTGGTTGGGATAACATGATTATATGTTAGGGAGTATTGGATTTTTAAAACTTGGATAATGCTATTTAGTGGCTGAAATAATAAGATTATATGGCTTGGTTAAATGGGATTTTGTGGCTGATATAATGATTTTTTGTGGCTAAGATAAAGGGATTTTGTGGATTGAGTAATATGATTTTGTGGCTGGAATTATAGGATTTTTTAAAGATTGGATAATGTTAGTTTGCTTGCTGGCGCAATGCGATTTCATGATGTAATTGGTTACAAAGGGAAAAAAAACATTAGCCCATATTAAATTATTATCCCAATGTCTCAAATTTTTATAATTTTTTGATATGGTTTAGCTTTTAGGCACTGAATGAAGGAATGACTATAGTTTTTTTTTTAAAATCAATACTTTTTTAAAAAATATCGATTTTTTTAAAAAAACGTCCCATAAATGGGACGCTAGCAACGAACGGCCCCATGTACATTTATTGAACAAAAAATCATTTATCAGGAAATATGGCTAATCACGCGAAAATTAAGCTGTATACTGATTTTGTATTGTTAGACCAATGATTACATTGTTTAGGACAGCTAAAAATACTGACAACGTTCAATTGGGTTAGCCATACCATGGTCTAAAATGCAGAAATTATGTTCAAATGTCCAGTTTTCTTTCAATCTAGTATCCATCAAAGTGAATAACACTTGGAAATAAGTAAAGCTGTGACTGATACATCTAATTATACACACATGATCACAAATAATGCTATTATTCATCGAAAATGTAACATAATTAAATATAAATAATTGATTTTTTGGCGGGCGAACTTGAAATTTTCAGGGGGGGGGGGCTTAAATTTCCGGGGGAGGGTGGACACTGATAGAAGTATGTTTTCTATGTAAATTTCATTTTGTTCTGTGGGCAGAGACCCACCTCCCCTGCTCCAAAATGATGCCTGGAAGAGACTCAGTGAATTTGCAAAAAACGATCCCGTTAAGTCCCAGATGTCATCCAGCCATCTTCTCTTTTGTTACCCTCGCTATCCCCCCCCCCCCCTATTAGGCGTACATTAGGACATCAGACATCTTATTACTAGGGCCCGGATCCGTCTCTGGGGGCCTGTATTGAGTGTTCATTGCTCTCATCCGTGTATGCACCTCACTATGCGAACAGCTCCCAATCTAGCACCAGCAATCCCCTTACAAAGCCTCGTAAAAAGTTAAAAAGTAAAACTGGTATCGGGAACCTTAGAGGGGAATATCATTGAGGCATGACAACAGTAGACAGCAAATTCACATTTCTGCTATATGTAGCTTGAGCTCTCTTACATGAAGAGTGTTAACCAACCCCCATGACTGAATCATTTCACCTAAATTGTGACCATTGTTATTATTATGGTTTTTTTTTATAATTTTAATATTACGCGCTAGTAAATTTACAGCAATACTAAATTAGTTTATATTCAATGGTATTAAATAGGAGCCTACTTCAGTAAGTGTAATTCTGAAAACTTAAAAATAAACAGTAAGTTTTTCAATATTTTCAATTTTTTATACAATAATATATAAGTAAATATAGGTCAAGGTCATAATTAAATATCTATAAATGCTACTTAACACTCCAAAATCAACAAATAACAAAGTCAACAATTGTTTCACCATAAATAACCATTTAACATAAATATTTGCATCTGTGTTTCTCGCTAGTGTCCAATAAATGTGACGTTTGTGTAACAATCTACATGGGGCCATTCGTTGCTAGCGTCCCACTTATGGGACGCTTGTTGTACACTTGATATAACAAAGTAGTAAAAAAAAATTGTTACTCTTAAATTTTTATCAGATAAAAATATGGTACTGCTATAAGTTTCAAATGTATTTTTCACTTAAAATATTAATATTTTAGAAGATATGCATTTTCCTGCGCGCATATTTTCTTTTTTTCCGCCATTTTGACAATTCCTGCAAAGCCGGCTCTACAAAATTTTTCTAAATTAATTTTTTCACAAAAACCCACAAATTCAATAGTCTAACCATTTTCAAATACAATGAAACATAATTTGAGTTTTAACTAGTTTTTAATAAATTTTAGCAATTTTTTTTACTAGCGTCCCATAAGTGGGACGCTAGCAGAATATGGGTGTAATGTATCTGATGACTATTATTATAACAAGGAACAAGGAACCTTACCGTCCTCAGCCTCATCTCTCTGCCTCAGACTAAAACCCCCCAACAACTTACCAATATCCGGTGACGTCCTCAGATCCCGGGACCCCCACACCGCCGACCCCGACGAGTCCCGACAGGGTTTCCCCAGCCCCGCGTACATCTTCGTCACGCTCTGGGCGATGTCAGTCTGGAATCCCAGGATCCCGACCCCCAGCGTGTCCAGCAGCATCCTCTTGCTGCGGTGGATGGTTTTCTCGGACAGCTGCATTAGGCTGGTGTTGGCCACTAGGTCGGACATCCATGACGTCACGGAGGTCGCGGGCAGGTTGACTCCAAGTGCTGAGCATTCGTTAAAACAAGTTAATAAAAAGTCTAGTGACAATTTAAGCGCAATTTCTTTAATTAATTTTTTGTGACCGAACGAAAGGATATTTTTGAAAACTTTCTTCGGCAATATTGTTCTAAATTATGGCAGGAATCGACTGGTAAATGTTTCAAGTCGCTAAGTGGTCTGGTTGCCGAGATATGGGCCGAAAACTGCATTTTTTTCGAGGTTTTTTGGCTTTTCCGGGAAATCCAGGAAGGAATTCCGGAATTTTTTTTGGCCCACAATCATCCCCGGAACTTGCTTAAAATATTTGATTTGGAACTAGTCCTCGATATTGCTTCGTTGAGGAGGAGATACGACTTAAAGCTGCGGACACACATCCATCCAGAAATGACGAGTTAATAATCGCAATACCTGTAAGGAAATTGCGCTAAAAATAGAAAAATAATAACTAAAAACACAACGTTCACGTGGTAGCTAAAAATAGAACATGAATCGAGCTGTTTTGTTTACAAACACTTACTAGTGGGCGTTTCTATTTGGAGAGGGACATGCGCGTTGTCAGCAAAAGTCTTGTGTTGAAACGTGGCGATTGGCTGTTCTTGTCGAACACTGACCTAAAAAAAGGAATTGTTAAAAATAAGAATTGAAAAGTGTTTTGACATTTATTAGACGCGTTAAATCTTGAATGCTTGAAGTTTTTCAATATCTCTAGGCATCTTGATGTGTAGCTTATCTTCATATCGAGGTCATCTTAATATCTAGCTTATCGTGATGCCCATAACATCTTAAATGTCCAGAACATCTTGATGTCAAAAACATCTTGATGTGCAGACCCTTTTTATGTTCAGAACATCTTGATGTCTAGACCCTCTTATAATGTCCAGAACTTTGTGATGTCCGGATCCTTTTAATGTCCAGAACATCTTAATTCCAGACCTTCTGGTTGTCCAGTTTGAAGTCCACATCATCTTTATGCCCAGAACATCATTATTTGCAACACACGCCAGTTTCCTATACACAATTCTGCTACCCTTATTAGACTGATACAATTATCTAAACAATCAATTATCAACAACACTGATTTACATTGTCCTGTGTATAGACAGTCCTGACAAAATTACTGCCAAGCAGCCTGCCTGGAACCTGGACTATAGGCCTTGCTGTAGTAGAAATGCTCATTTTCTCTTGTATTAGGTCGCTGCTACTGTTAGCGGCATCGCTAGTCTACTGACCACTTATATAAGGTACATCTCGTCATTAGTATGTGCTGCTAATCACGCGAACACAAAGTGTATGATCGACAATATTATCATTTACCACAAGTTACCAACTGGTTTAATTTGAATAATGAATTTTCATCACGAAAGTAGGTCAAGTTGGGGATTAGAAGAGACAAAAGCTATTTGCACGGCTAAGTTTATCTCCACATAGCGGCTTCACATTTCGATTAGAGTATGGCTTGTAAGCCTCGTTCTCTCTCACTTAAAACTTTGAAATCTCGTTAGCCAGGAAAGATATACATCTTCGAATTAAATTATTTGTTGTGAACATGATTCTCATTTAAAACAAACAACAAAAAAAAAATCACTAGAAAAACTATTTGTTTCTAAACGTCTCTTCAAGATTGTAAAATACCAAGAGAGTTAAAATAAGCACCGTAGGTTATTAACAATATTATATTAATAGCGTAACTACGTTTAAAACAACGTGGTATTGATTCGAATTATAATTTAAAAAAAAACTGTACTCTTCTTAAAAAAGTCACAATTTAACGTAGACTATATTTTTTTAAGCTAGCCTACATCTTATACTCTGTCGTTGTTTACCATTTTAAATAACAATAGTCGAAGTAACGTTTCTATTTTTTTAACCGATTTAATAACAATATTTACACTTGGTTTGAAAATTGCTCGCTTGCAAGTACGAAAACAAGAAGTTGGTGACCTACTTTAGAGCCCTATTTTATGACTGAATCTATTTATAGACACGTTTTAGGCCTATCAGGTTTATAGTTATTAGTTATGGACTTAATCTGACAAAAACAGCTTGTTATTATTTTTTTTAAATTTTCCACAGTTATAGCGTTAGTAGTAAATTAATATTTTAGTACCTGACAGCTAGATCTAAGGAAATTAATTTAATTAACTTGTCGTTCGCCAGGTGACGATGTACAAACGATGTCAGCGAAAGTGTGGGCGTTGGATAAGGGTCATTGTCCTGGATAATTTATGGGTTGAATTGACTACGTACACCGATGCTAGTGTGGCAGGGACATGGGTGGGGGTGTGGTGTTAAGGGGAGGTTAATGTATCCTATACCGTCAACATCGTGTTTGCAGTTTAGGTAGTGTTAAGAGGTACACCTATGTTGGTCTTAAGTGTGTTACTAATCAGAACTTAAAGGTTATAGGTGTGATAATGTAATCACACAGTGAGCTAAGACTGCAACTTCGTCTAAAATGATGACGTTTCCTTTGTCTTTGTAGTCGTAGGCTAACATACTATTGTACGGTATATCTACAATTATAATTTGATAATCATGAGGATTAATATTAATATATCTATCCACACACACACACACACACACATATATATATATATATATATATATATATATATATATATATATATATATATATATATATATATATATATATATATATATATATATATATATATATATATATATATATATATATAACTCTCATTTTGCCCCTTAATTACAGTCTCACTATATAGTCTCACCCTAACTATACAGTATGCCCTCCGATTTACCTTCTGTTTATATCTACCAATTACAACCTCTATAATATACTCATCACAATTTTTATTTCCTTGCTGGTTTTTGGGATTTCAGTGCTGAAATTTTATTTACCAGATCTTTAAAAAAATATTTTGATAACCAAACGTTACTTGGTAAGACAAAATAAGACTTTAGAGAAAATTCATCCTTGTAATAATAGTGCATTTAAAGGAGCTAATCGTTTTCTATTTAGGCAGGAGTCTATTTATAATTTAAAAATATAAAAAATATAAAATAAAGACAATATTTATACATATTTGTTAAATAGTTATGTAAAATGACATAGTTAACAATTATGTTTTTTTATTACTATTAAATTTGCCGATATTCTTAATTTTTAGGAAGATTATTTATGGTTGTTTCCCTTAGTATTATCAAATTTTTACATGGGACGTCACTACCACTAATCGATATTCTATAATAACCAATTCTAAACCTTGTTTAACATGACAATGATTTTAACAATATAAAACACAAACGTTATAAATTCTATAATGATTAATTAATTTAAAAAAAAATCATAAATGTACATTCACATTGTAAAATGGAACGGCGTGGTCGAATGGTAGTGTATTCAATTGCTTACCCGAAAGTCTCGAGTTGTAATCCGGGTTCAGGTCCGTTGAAAGTCCCTCAGCCCACCCAGCTCTAATGGGTACCTGACTCAATTTCGGGAAAATAGAGGCCACAGAAACAGATGAACTCTACTTCATTTGCCCCATGGTCCGTCATGTTTGAAAGGGAATATTTTAAAATATGCTTTAGTGTAGTGGGCTTGTTTTTTTTTTTTTTTGCAGTGTCAGTGAAAAAAAAAAACCCACTTATCGCAACTATTTTCTAGGTAGTATAAATGTTTCATTCGAAACTATAACAAGAAAGAATATATTCGCATACATGTATTGTATTTAATGGCATTAATACTTGCAAAATATAATTAAAAATAAAGGTGAATACTAATGCTAAAATGTTGAGAAACTGATCACTAATGTTTACAATATATCATAGGTTGTATTGGTTAATTCCCTATCACATGCTCTTTGATGGTGAGAGCCCCCCCCCCCCCCCCCAGTTCATCTTCATGTGGCTTGCTGTGTCGTTAGAGTTAATAAACAATAACTAAATAACCATTTCAGCCTTATATTATTTTCAGACAAAAAAAGTTGCGATCATTTTTAAGTTGGTTAAGTATTTTTTTACGTGGACTTAACGAACTGCGCCTCTCATCATCTTCTTCTTCTTCGTTCTTAATTTTTAGTATTGGGAGGAATAGAGCCTTATCTGCCAGAGGGTTTGAATTCGAGACTTTTTCGAATTTATCAACCATGAGCTATTGCTGACTCGACCACGCCTCCGACACAATTAAGTTACGTGTCAACTGGTTATGCGCCATTGAGGCCATTGACTCCAATTTCAGCCTGCTTTTCTTTTTGGATTTGCTTCCATAGCCTTTGTCCAACCAAGAACAAACTACAAGACAGCAGTTGTTTGATTTTGGAGTTGTCTCTCCTAGAAGAGTGTCTGACCCCAGCTAACGAGCCTCATCTGCCCGAGGGTTCGAACTCGAGACTTTTTGTTTTTAGCAACCATGAGCTTTACCGACTCGACCACGCCGACCCCGCTCCTCTCATCGAAAATCACTTGTCGAACAACAAAGGTGAGAGGTCACTGTTTTGTTTTAAAATCCTGTCCAATTAGCCTAGCTAATGAGCAGTACTTGAGCCGGTAATGAGGGCATATGAGAAAAAGACGTTCTTATAGTTAACTTACAAGGGTATTTTCTATTCTATTAATAGAGAGCTGATTAAAAAAGTAAAAATATTTCTCGCTCATAATTGTGCTTTACAATTCGTTTTTAATTGTTATAGATTGAAAACACAAAAGAGTGGGTGTTTTTTTTATGTAAGCGGGATAATTCATTATCATTTTTCGGAAAAGTGTACATGTGTAAACATTGAAAGGGGGTTTTCATTTTGGGAGTGTTCGCTTTAAATAAAACACGGTCTAGACAGGAAGCGACGACAGCTGACGTAAACACTAGAGCGATTTTCTAATTTTGACGCCCAATCATTAGAGATAATTTATAGTAATACGAATAGTGTTTAATCTTTTTAAAAAATTAATTAATTAAATTAATCGTGTGTTAAGCATCTAACGCTCATTTATCTAGAACAACAACAACAACAACAAAAAAAAACACATTATAAAATTAAAACTTTATATCGTTATATCATACATACTTTATCATTCACAACTGTGTTGGTGCCTACTGTTGACGTCATTAGGTTGAGGTTCTTGTGTGTCTTGTAACTAGACAAGAGCTAAATTTAAAAGTAGCAAAATAATTTTAAAAAATCGAAATTGATCATAAACTAACAAAAAAGTACAAAAAGTACAAACAGTTTGGCTGGCATTTACATTGGAAGGTATGTAATAATCCCCACCCCCCCCCCCTCCACAACCACCACCATACTAAACTAATTGGTTTTCTTTTTTGTAGTACCTGCTCTAATTTTCATTACACAAAAAACCCTCGAAAGTTATTTTAGTACAAGAAAAATGTGGTAAATAATATCTTCTACAAACACAGCTTTTAACCCACCCCCCTTTTTCATATCTTTTAATGTGTAATCAATTTGTACTGTATATTTTAAAATAAATCCAACAATTTTTTTTCTAAGACTTTGGATATCTTAAGACACCCGTATGTGAGTAAATTAATTAATACTTCACCCTGGTCAGCTGGGGCTTTGGCCTGCAAAATAAAACTTTCGCCATTTTCTTTGCCGTTAATAATGTTAGCATGCTTGACTGGAGTCGTCGCGAAAATGTATTGTACCAAATGCTGCGGTCTAACAATCTTCTCCGGTATATCTCCGAGGGTTTTTATTGCAATACGGCAATCACGTGACACTCTCACGCCGGCTGACCTGTACCTTTACCTCAGCAATATCGTCTAGTCATCATGACCTGCCACTGTTAAAATCAGTGGTGCACAGGTATGTCTCTAGCAGGAAGCGACCTGCATATCATTTAGCAATTTAATGCAGGTCGAGGTTAGATGTGAATAAATTCCATCACCGGGTGGTGCCTTATCTGCTTGATATCAATTACATGTAATTAATTATTTGGACCAGGGACCCTTCGATAATTATTCTAAGGACTATTGTTCTCAAAATGTGTTTAAGGTAGCATGTTTATATTACGCTATATTATATATATATATATATATATATATATATATATATATATATATATATATATAATCAAAATACATAAATGTATATATATATATAAATGTGTGTATATATAATTATATATATGTATATATGTATATATATATTTATATATATATATATATATATATATATATATATATA